AAAAATAAGATTCAGACAGACTGGAACAGTGAGGAAGTTTAGAAAAAACAAATGCTTTCAAAATATTCACTATTACTCTTACTTTTAATGATTGTAATGGGGCTGACCAAAAATTGTATTGATTGTTGTTTTGCTTATGCAGTGACAGGGATGTCTGTTGCTTTGCAGCCAAATAACATGGCAGATCCCTGCCCTGAAGAGTAGGCTGCAGGGGTGGCAGGTTTGTATAATTTTTGGTGGTGCCCAGAATGGGTCCAAGTCTGTTCCCTAGACCTGCTTTGTAAGCATGCACATATGTATATATATGTGTGTGTGTGAGAAAATGGGCTGGAAACAGTAAGCGTTTGTTTCCCTATATTGTGGGGGGATGAGAGCTCTGGCGTGGGGCTGGGCATGAGGGGTTCACAGTGCAGGAGGGGGCTCAGGGTGGGGCAGAGGGTTGGGGTGCAGGGGTGAGGGCTGTGGGGTGGGGCCAGAGATGAGGGGTTCATGGTGCAGGAGGGGGCTGAGTGTGGGGGGGGTGAGGGCTCTGCCTGGGGGTGAGGGCCCTGGAGTATGGCCAGGGATGAGGAGTTTGGGGTGTAGGCAGGCTGCCCCAGGGCTGGGGACAGAGAGGAGAACTCCACAGCCCCCACAGCCCTCTCCCTGCTGGCAGCAGTGAGCTCTGGGAGAGGGGGACCCCCTTTCTCCCCAGCAGCACATTCACTTTGCACCACTGTCATTGCACATGCTCCTAGAGGCCCGGCCCCTCAGGTCCAGGAAGCCCCCTCGCCTCCCCTGTGGTGGGGGCTGGGAGGGGATGGGGCTGCCATCATATGTGGCCTCCTCCCCTGCTGCCCCTCACCATAGCCTCATGGGGGATGGGGCTGCCCCTTGCCCAGCGTGGGGTAGGAGTGGTGGCCGGGGTGTGTGTGGTGCAGATCACATGGTCGGACACTCACCCAAGCCCCAGAAGCTGCTCAGGTGGGGCCCAGGCTACGTCTTCCGGAAGCCCCCTCCACATCGCCTGCCGGGGGAGGGCAGGGCTGCAAATCATGTGTGCCCCTCCTCCCTCCACAGGTGCAGCAGCCACCTCAGCCTGCTGTCGGTGCTGGTCTTGTGTTGCAGGCAGCAGCAGCTGGCGAGGAGGGAGCTCAGCGCGGAGCTGCAGAGCAGCCGCCTGCTTGAGGCAGGACGCTCCAGGGCCCGCAGGAGGCGCACTGGGGCGGCAGGCAATGCTGTGAGAGAGACCTGACTCTGAACATTGGTGGAACCGGAGCCCTGAATATTCCTGGAGCCTGGGCACCACGGGCCCATACAGCTCACCACCCGTGGCGGCTGGTGAGCCCACAGCTCTGAGCTGCAGTGCTATGAGCTACCCTGTGTGGCTGGGCCACTCTGAGCTCCAAGCTGCAGGTGGTGGGCAGCTCCGAGCTGCAGGTGACAGAACCCTGGAGTTCTGAGCTGCCAAGTTGGTGGGGGCCTCCCCGGAGCTCCCAGTAGGTCCCCACAGCTGCTGCGGGCGGTAGAGGACTCCAGAGCATCTGCAGCAGCAATGGGTGCTGGAGCCTTCTCCCTCCGCATTTTGTCACATGTTTTTAGTAAAAGTCAGGTCATGGGCTTCCGTGAATTTTTCTTTATTGACTGTGACCTGACTGACTTTTTACAAAAAATATCTGACACAAAATCTTAGCCTTACTCATGGACGCTCTGCCTGTTTTCTGAAATAGGAATGAAAGCGGAAACAAGAAACCATGTTGCTGGCTCCAGTTACCAGGAACATGCAGCAGATGGCTCCACAGTAGCTGTTGGGAGCTTGGCAGGCTGTGACAACTTTCCATACTGAACCATGAATCAGGGGCCAGAACAGCCACAGTTGGAGAGGGCTCTAGGAAGCCTGGGATACGGTGGTTTGACTTGGGTCTGTATACTGCAGTGTGGGCACTGGAGCCTTGAGTTTGGGGCATAGATCCAGAAATTCTAAACTTTGGGTCAACATGCACTGTGTAACTCAAGCCCTGGGCTTGCAAATCCAGGGTCCGTGAACTTGAGTCCCGCTAATCCTGGGCTTACATTATAATGTAGACATACCCTGAATGTGCAGCAGGCTAGCTCAAGGTAGTTTTAAACCTCAGCTTGGATTCATGCAGCGGTACCTATATAAGTGGCCTGATTTTCATGAATCTTGAGCACTTCACACCTCCCCTTGTTTTGAGTGTAGTATAATGAAGTCACATTTGAGTGTGGCATAATTAAAGGTGCTTGGATGCTCAACACATGACTTTAGACACTCATTTTTGAAAAAAATTGGCCACAAATTTCAATGATAACTTAAATTCCGTTTCAGTTGCAGTGCTGTTAGTGTCCACTATTATTTTTAGTAAAAAAACAAAAACAAAAAAAACACATTAAACTTCTCACTTTAGCCATTTCTCTTGGGGTGGGGGGGAAGAAAAATAATAATTAAAAATTATTTGCTAGAGAGAGTCCAGATAAGTACGTCACAAACCGTGATGGGGATGGTCATACCTAGTGGTCAGTGTTGTGGCAGTCCAGCCTAGTGGTCAGAGCAGGGTTGGAGTGAAGGTGGAGCGAGAGCAAGGCTGGAGCCGGACTAGGAACAGTGTTGGAGCAAGAGCAAGGCTGGAACAGGATAAAGCTTAGGATGTCTGTTGCCACTGTCAGGCAGGAGAGAGTTCAAAGCCCTGGAGTGAGGTTGAGCAGACTGAGCTGCTCCTCCTCCTTTGAGGTTTACACACCTGGTGTGGTGACTATCTGTGCAGTTCCTGGCTTGTGGATTGGCTGGAGCCTAGAACAGGAGTGACTCATTATCTTACAGTACAGGAGAATGGAGAAACCAACTAAAAACACCAATCTGGTTTGTATATGGAAATAAACTAGAAATTAATTTAAAATGAGTTTCACAGAGGATAGGTCCATCAATGGCTGTTAGCTAAGATGGTCAGGGACATAACCCCATGCTCTGGGTGTCCCTAAACCCCTGACTGCCAGAAGCTGGAACTGGATAAAAGAGGATGGATCACTCAATAAATTACCCTGTTCTGTTCATTCCCTCTGAAGCATTTGACACCAGCCACAGTCGGAAGACAGGATACTGAGCTAGATGCACCATTGGTCTGACCCAGTATGGCCGTTCTTATGTTCTAAAAATTCAAATGTAGATAAAAGATCTTGACTATCTTATTCCCACAACTTGCTTTTTGTGTTTCCAGAACTACAATGTAAATTAGAAAAGATTAGTATTTGTTCAATAGTGCCTTTCATAATTATGATCTAAAATATTTTGTAAAGCAAAGGGAGGCAGGGGCCAATCCTAGGTGTGGTACTATTAAATATTTAAATCAATTATTTGGATAATGGTGTGCAGAGTATGCTTATAAAACTTGCAGGTGACATCAAGGTGGGAGCGGTTGCAAGGACTTTGGAGGACAGGATTAGAGTTCAAAAGGACCTTGAAAAAACGTTGAATTAGTCTGAATTCAACAAGTTCAAAGTACTACACTAAGGAACAGAAAAATCAAATGCACAAATACAAAATGAGGAATAACTGAGTAGGTGGTAGTTCTGCTGAAAAGGATGTGGGGATTATAGTGGCTCACAAATCGAATGAGTCAACAATGAGTTGCAAAAAAAGGCTAATATAATTCTGGGGTGTATTAACAGCAGTGTTGTATGTAAGATGCAGGCGGTAATTGTCCCACTCCTCTTGGCATTGGTGAGGTCTCAGCTGGTGTACTGTGTCCAATTCTGGGTGCCACATTTTAGAAAAAATGTGGACAAATTGGAAAAGTCCAGAGGCGAGCAACTAAAATAACAAAAGGTTTAGAAAACCTGACCTGTGAAGTAAGGTTAAAAAACCTGGGCATGTTTAGTCTTGATGTGGGACCTGAGAACAGTCTTCAAATATGTTAAGAGTTGTTCTAAGAAGACAGTGATCAATCATTCTCCATGTCCACTGAAGGTAGGACAAGAAGGAATAGGTTTAATCTGCAGTATGGGAGATTTAGGTTAAATATTAAGAAACCCTTTCTAACTGTAAGGGTAATTAATCTCTGGAATAGGCTTCCAAGGGAGGTTGTGGCATTGTCATAATTGGAAGATTTTCAGAACAGGTTAGATAAACACCCTTCAAGGATGGTCTAGGTTGACTTGGTCCTGCCTCAGTGCAGGGAGCTGGACTTGATGGCTTTACAAGGTCCTGTCTAGCCCTACATTTCTATGATTCTGTGATGTTATAGGTGCTGTTAGTTCAGTGTAGGCAACTAAAACTGTCATTGTGAGGACAGCAATAGCTTATACATAGCCAGCCTTGGATATTAGAACCTGTGTTGTCCTGCATGGTGAAATTATCCCCTATTCGTTTCTTAAATGTGTAAAGGGATCTCTGACTTGGTTTCTGGACATCTGCTCCAAGAAACAGGCAAATCCCTTCCTGTAGAGATTTTCATGTAAGGAAAAGGAACAGGTCTGTATTGTTTTTGCTATGATTCATAATTACAGAGCAGTTATCTTATAAAAGTCCCTAGTTCTCCCTGTGGGTGAGACTGAAGGAAACCCCTTGTGCCTGACAACAGTTCTAGTATAATGAGGGATCTAAGCAAAAGGGAACTGTCTATCTGACTTTAAAAGTGCAGCAGAAGAGGGGTGGAATACGTAGGAATGGTTTGGGAAAACAGTGGAAGTGGCCTGGGTTTCTTTCTAACATGCATTTCCATGTAGTGCAGTTGACACTCAAATCCACTGAAATGTGCTCTACATTCCCTTTGGGGGAGACAGTAGGAAATATTTTCAAAATGATGATGGTCCAAGCTCTGCTCTCATTTACATTGATTCCAGTCTGATTCAGTGGCATGTTACACTGGCGAAACTGAAAGCCAAGTTTTTCCCTTGTACACAGGTACAACTGAGGGCAGGTTTTAACGTGGTCTCTTAGGTGAGGAAATAAAAAGTTGTTTTTTGCTTAGCTTTAACCAGCTTTTAATAAGAAAAGAAGACTGAACTAAGGAAAAGAGAAAAATAAGCTACATGTCAGCTCCTGGTACTTCAGAGAGACCAGCAAGCAGTATTTTAAATACTGCAGCCTCATTTCTTGAGGTTTTATTTCCTGGGATGTTATTTGTGGAGCAGTGGATTTACTTCTGGATTTATATGGATTTACCTCTGAGTCTTTGATTCCACTAGGACACATCATGGCTGCAACTCTGCAGGGAAAAAAAAAACACCAATGGGCCCAATGGAGTAGGAGCCTGTGAGATTTATAAGTGCTTTGTGTCCTTTTATTGAATAATAAAGACTTTCCCTTTCTGGCAGAACACAGGAAATCAAATCTGTTCCCTTTACTTCAGGGCATATAGTCATAAGTCGTCTTTTGTCTGTAAAGATGAACCTCAGCTACTTGTAACAAGAAGCCAGCTTCTAAAGCAAACTCATTTTGTTTTACCTTTGCTCCTTTGGAATCCCATCTGAAGCCCCCTCTCTCCATACTTGGCAGCTACCTCAACATTTCTTTGGTGGAGCAGATTCTCTTCCATTCATCCAGTGAACAAGCGTAATTCCTCTTCTGCCCATCTGGGTGTGGAACACATTCATCTCATCACAGGAACTGATGTTGAAAACAGAGTGAGAAGCCATGCCAGGCAGGATGTGAAAAGCTGTACAATTTCCAAAAATGTAATGATATGAATGAATACACAAGGTTTGCCAAACAAGTTTATTTCATCTCTAGCAAAGGAAGTGCTGCCAAAAAGCTAGTGTTGATGTAACAGTTTCAACCACTGACTGCTAAGATGTTGTCTAATACTGTCACATCACTGTTGTAAGACACTAGAGACAGAACTTATTAGGAATGAGTTAAACTGGTAAAACCACCCTACTTAATGCACCAGGAGAGTTCATTAACTTAATCTTCATAATGGTTTTGATAAAACTTTAAATCACATCCTTTCTGCAATGGAGAAAAAAATACATACTATATAAAAAGTAGTTTTTAGCACAATCTGGTTTTAGTCAGGGTCTTACAACAGTGCTACCCATCAATGCTTCTTTGTGTAGAATCTGCAGTTTCCTTGGAAAACACTGAGCAGGCCTTCTCAGGCTTAACTAGGACAGCTGATGAGATTGGACAATGGTGGCTCTAAACCAGGTATGATTACAGCTATATAAGCAACTTGAGCCTGATTTTTCATTCATTTATATCTGTTTTATGCTGGTGTCACTCCAGTGTGATCTCAGAGTCAGGTCTCTTGGGGGTATGTCCATGCAGCAAAAATAACACGTGTGGAAGTGCGTCTCAAGAGCCCAGGTCAACTGACTGGGGCTCATATTGTGGGGCTAAAAATAAGTGTTGATTTGTGCTCAGGTTGGAGCCCAGGCTCTGAAATCAGGTGAGGAGAAAGGGTCGTGGACACTGGGCTCCGGCATGAGCCTGAATGTTTACACTGCTGATATCAACCCCACAATGTGAGTCCCATGACCCTGAGTCAATTGACCTGGGCCCTGAAGACCCACTGTTGTGGGGTCTTTTTTTTTTTTTGCTGCTGTAGAATTATTTGTGTTGGAAGAATTGGAAGCAAAAATTTTGGCCTTGGGGTGATTGTGTTCCATTGAAGTCAATCAGAGTTTTTGCCATTTATGTGATCTTATGTGAGCAGGTTTAAGCCCTTTATCTTGAATTTTCAAACTGAGATGGAAAGGAGAAGCTGGCAAATTCATGACTGCCAAGAGAAATGAAGCCCAAGAATTAGACGATTTGTTGTATTTTTGTCAGTTCCACAAGCTTGTCAATGTAGGGACAATATAGTGTCAACAATTTGGTTAAAACAAAGTTATTTGTATAATTGGTTTTGTTTTACTCCTGTTTGAGTTTGAGTGACAAAGAATAAAATTGCAAATAACTCTATTGCTTAGTGTAAGGATTGGAATATTACAGTGTTGGATGTTGCTCTGGATGATCTTACACATTAGGGGCCCATATGGAAGGATGAGAGCACAAGGTGAATGAATCCATGTGTTGCAAACCATACATACACCCATGAACACAGGCATCTACTCCTTAGGCAAACAGAAATCTCCCTTATCTAGCAGTAGGAGTGGGTCCTTTATCTTCTTGCTAGGCCAGCTACTAGAGGGTGATAAGATCTCCCCCTCTCCCTCTGCAACACACACACAATACATTGAGACTGCTGGCAGGATTATTTTCTTGTTGGTACTCGGTTTACTCTATATAGCTGTGACTGTTGGTGCCAGTAGGGCCCACACTGAGGTTGCTCAATCACAGCAAACTGCAAAGAAGGGAGCAGCCGATCCCCCAGACTGGTGGTTATTCTAATAATTAGATTCACCAAGCCAGCAACAAAACAGCTTCTACAATCTCTTACTGGTAACCCAGAAGCCAAAAACACAACTCCCTTAAAGCAATCCAGCCTTGAGCTCCCACCCAGACAGCCACGTCAAATATGATGAGGATTACTGAAAATCTTGTTAATCTGATATAAAGTTCTACCAATCCCAAGAGATCAGACACATTATCCATCAGAATAATGAATATTTCAGATCTTGTCCAAATACATGCTTACAGCCAATTCGTATTAACTAAACTAAAATTTATTAAAGAAGAGAGAGAGAGTATCCTGGTTAAAAGATCATTATACATGCAGGTCTGAATAAAATTCTTAGGTCAGTTTCATAGTAGAGATGGTGAGCTGCTGAGTTGCAAAAAGTTCTTTCCAGAATCAGTTCATCAGATTATAGTCCAAAGAGTCAGTCCATCTATAGTGTTTAACTTCTTCCATGAGAAGTAGCAGGGTAATCCAGACTGAAGCTGGAGACCTCAGTCTTGTGACTTAAGCTCCCCCTGACCAAGCTGAAACAGATCTGAGATACAGGATTGGGGCCTAAGAGTTCTTTTATAGATCTCTGGCAGGCTATCGACAGCCTTGGGTGAAGCACTGTGGCTTTGAAGTAAAACCTCCTATTTCCTATATATACACAGGTAATTAGTAGCATTCATCAGCATAAGGTATTTAGCCATCAAGCAGTTCATAAACAGTTTACTACAAACTTCAAAGAGAAATATAGGCAATGATATCATTACACCCAAGTTTCGTCTACATGTTAATATTCCTTTTTTATCTCAGAATCAATAGAATATAGTAAGAGACAGGAACTATTGGGCTACGTTGTTAACCTCAAACAAGATTATAGGTAAACTAAGACAAATACGATCACTATCCTCTACTAACTCTCTAACAATACAAGTCTACATTTCAAAGCTCTAGTCTATCTAATATGGCTTTGTTAGCTATTTATAAGAAATGGCCCTAATTACCATTTACATACTTATAAAATATGTCTTGAAAGGTAGAATTTGCGTAATTTCGCCTGCTAGTTTTGTAACCCTTTCTGGCCCAGGGTCACAATAGTAATGATATCCAGCTAGTGAAAATCTAAGACACTATCAAGTTTGAAATATTATGGTGAAGATTGCATGCGCCATATATTTAAAAATTGTACTTGATACAAGACATTTGATAAAGTTCTCTAAAAAAATACAAGTGTAGGTGACATTTACCCTTTAAACATGGAGGAAGAGGTCTAGGTTTTACATCTCCTCCCTTCATCTCTTTATGCTGATGTGTGTGTATAGTGAAATTGTTAACTGAGCTTCATTTTCTTGTGTCCTTTTTCTTTCCTTCCAGCTTTGAATGAGGAGGTCGCTCCCTCCTTGGAGGAGGTATGTTCTGGGAACAAGCTGTGTATAACTTAAAACTGTTTATATTGATACTAAGAATTCCTGGAGGTGTAATGGTCTAATTGGTGAATACATTCAGGTTTCTGTATTAAGTTTTCTAAAAATTGAATAAAAAGAAAGTTAAGAAAACAGAATAAGAAAAGATTGCTGAAGAGTCAGATGTGGCTGCTGGCAAAGCAGATGTGTTTATGTTCCAGGTATTTTTTTTATTTTTATGTTCTGTTTCATTTACACTTAGGAAAGGTCAGTATCAGTCATGTTTGTCCAAGGCCTAGTGATTATTAGTTTGGACTAACTGTGCAGATTGCTGGAAGCATACAATGAATACATAGTATTGAGGACTGTACAGTTTTAAGGCTGATGCCTAATTTTACTTTTGGTCCATTTCCTGATATTTTTTTTATTAGTCTTAATTAAAATTAAGTTTATACCCTCAGTAGTCAAGGAGATATTGTCTCATTCCTTTCCCTTGCTCACTTCTTTCCTTTACATACTAGGTGGACTTCTTGGAATTCTAAATTTAGCAGACTCCACTATAGCAATAAGTCACAACAGTGCGTACATTCAGAAGCTGCCCATGCAGACTTTGGATGCATTGCAAGGCATGAAGCTGAAGGTTAATAGGCTACTAACAAACACACTCCAGTGGAATGGCTTATTGAGCTTAGGATATAGTTGATTATTTATACAGTGTACCATTCTTCTCTGAAAAGTATTTCCTGGTAAGGAATTAAGGTCCAAATCTGCAGGTGGAGGGGATGAAAACTTGCTTGATGCTTACCTGGTGTTAGCAGAAGGTGCAATGTCAACTCTATAGAAGTATTCCTCATCATTCCCCCTAGTCCAATAGTAGACACTGCGGGTGGGTGGGTGGATGGTGGTGGGGGGAGGAGGGAGATCTCGATCCACAGATGGGAAGAGGATGGATTGGGGAGGAGGAGGTGGGTGAGGCTAGGAAGGACATGTGCTTTCCATTCATCATCCCATCCCCAAACCCATGGGAATTCAACTCAAAAATTAATAGAGTCAGCACGGAATTCTCTGCCTACCCTTTGTGGTGTTGTGGGGACTGCCCAAACCAGTAAGCGGCCCTGCCACCACCAGCCCTGTAATCTTTGTGCTATGCAGCTATGGTTCAATGCCCTGACACCAGTAGCCTGCCCACAAGCATGAGGTCTCACCAGCCTAGTTACTCCTTGCAGGTTGACACCAACAGCCTTTCCAATCTCAAGTCTCCCCAAATCTGTCCTTTGAGTTCTTAATGACCAGATATGCGGACCTCTGGTTCATCATCCCCGAAGGCACAAAACCAGCCCCCGTCATACCAGCTCACTTTGGCACTCACACTCCACACACTGTGCACACCAGAGACCTGCTTTGAGTAAAAATAAACAAAGTTTATTTAGTAGTAAAAACACAGATGCAAAAATGGAAAGTAAGGGAAAGCAAACATTCAAGACATAGTCAATAAACGTCAAGACACAATACACTTCCCTATTAGATAAAATCCCTGTTCTAATAAGAGTTATCCTTAAAACAGTTTCTCAGTGTACCCTCTAACTATAGGGGGGATCCAGCATTCATGGACAGCTTCCCTGCTAGAGACTGCATCTCGGATTCTGGATACAAAACTTCAGTCCCAAGCCAAGTCTGTTTTTACAAGGCTTTTTCTTTCCTTTCTTCCTCTCAGTCCATGGTGCCTCACACTGTTTCAGAGTGGGGAGATGCCCTCTTGACTTGACAGCCAGAATGTCTCAATGTCTTTCCATTAATTCTAATGGTCCATCAATATCTTTTCCTGGGCTGGAGAATGGATCATTGCTTGAAGCTGTTTTTATGTAAACAATTGATTTGGGAGCTGCCTCTCCCGGCTTAACTACTCACTGCCTGGCTGTGAGGTAT